CCCCCCCCTTTTTCAGGCTGAGCAGGACAATGGCCATCCTCTTCCTGCCTTTGCCAGTTTACACATTGAAGTCCTCGATGAGAATAATCAGAAGCCTTACTTCGCAAGATCAACGTATGAGGGCTTTATCCTCGAATCCTCCCCGGTGGGTACCACCATCTCCGAGAACCACAACTTGACCTCTCCACTACAAATTGTAGTGTTGGACAACGACGTAGAGGAGGTACATTTCTCTCTCTTTTATAGCTCGTACTGGAGTTGAAGTTGAGTTATTTTTACTGTTGGTGAGGGCTTAGCATGAAGGGAAAAACTTTGAATTTATGGGAAGGCTGCACCTGCAACCGGGCATGGGGAAAATGGGAGAGCCGAGCTCAAAGTGAAAGTGAGACTAGTCTGGGCGCACCAGAAAGAAGAGGAGTAGGAGAGCTGGAGGCCAGAAGTTCAGTCCATTCTTTGCTCTGCCCAGATTTTTACCTCTCCGTGTAAAACTGGAACACTTTCAAAAGAGTGGTAGCCTAAACCATACCGAGCCTTGAGGGTTAAGTCGTCTTTTCCCCTGAGGCTGGTTTCATTAGGTGTTTTTGTTGATGTTTTTTTCTCCTCCGATTACCATCACCTCTCCAGCTTGTCCCTTCGATCTTTTTTTGTTTCTGTTCTTGGTGGTTCTTTTTCTGTTCTCTTCTCGTCTTCAGGTACCTCAGGAAGTTGTAGGCGGCATGTGTTTTGTAGTAATGTTTGTAGCGTACGGTTTTAATAAAGCTTCTGACCTGATATTCTGAAAACCGTCTTCTCTTTGTACAAGCTTCACTTTTGATGTTGCAATTGTCTTGTTTTTGAGAAACACGGGCGACCGTTTTCACTGTGAAAGATGCATCCTGCAGCCTTGTCTGCAGCAGAGCGATTTGCTGTCCCAAGAAGGTCTTCTAAAGCCCAAATCCATGTGGTATTTTTCTCACTTAGCCATGAAAAAAACTCAGGCAGTTTACTGGCGTTCAAAATAACTGGTTGGATAGACACGTGGGAATAGTTGGAGTCGGCTTTGCTAGGGCACGGATAAAAGATGGGAAAGAAACGCGTGTGATGGGCATCAGCGGCCGTGCTGGTGACTTCTCGTACGTGACTTCTCAAAAACGCTCCTCTTCAGCATTGCATTTGTTAAAATCAGCAGTTTTTTGCTTAAGCTAATTAGTTCTAACAGGACCCTGTAGACTGCTGAAATGATGAGGAAGAAGAAAGGTGCTGACATCAGGTGCGTGTTTGTTTTTGAAATGCATACTGTGGGGTTTGTATTTGTGTGAGGTGTATTTGTATAACGTATGAAGTCCAGTTTCCCTGAACCTTCTCCCTGTGATTAGGTCGTAGCTCACGGTGGGTTAGTGAGCGCCAATAATGCTCGTTAACTTCTGCAGCTCTTAAAGTTCTGGTGACTTCATTGTAGCCTAGTAAATGAAGGCTTTTAGTAAATAGAGATGGCAGATGAAAAAGTCAGCCTCTGTCCTGTCGATGCTTCTGAACGTTGTTTTCCAGTAGCGACGCTGCGGCGGTGGCCAAGTAATATAGTTGTGGTCAGCCTTCTAACTGACAAATCGATTTAGGTTATATTGTGTATTACAACAACTCCCTGTCCTCAGAGAAGTGAGTGAAGAAAGTGGTCATCTTAACTGTCTAGGCTTTAAAAAGCCCTCACATTCTAACTTTAAACCCTGTGAGAGTTACAATACGGTCCTATTATCGGCCTTCCAGAAATTAATTTGTAGAAGTGGCATTGCAAACAGACCTTTAACTAGAGCAGCACTGCAAAGTGCTGATATAATTAAGTAGTCTGTTTAAATGGCATGCATTAAATTAAGCCACCTGAGTACCTTAAGACCTGAGTAAACTGAAGCTGAGATGAGGAATTTAAAATGTATGATCTGATAGCTGCTTACAAGAAAGCTCCCCGAGCTACTTGCTTCCTTAGTCTTCTGTTTCCGTGGGAGAGCACTGATTTGATACTCTGGTTTGCTGGGGTTAAGGTCAACTTCTGCACAGGAACAGACTTACTGCCGTGCGTGCTGAGCTGGAGTTGGATCATTCTTATATATATACACACACACGCACACAGAAGTTCGTAAAGCGTTGGCGCGTGCCATCACGTGTTCGTAAAAGCGTCCATGCACTAACCTTGAAGCTTCTGCAGATTCCCGCAGGCTAACGCGTGATGCTTGCGTGGTAGGGTGCGCCTCAGTTTGGCTACTGCTTCCTTCGATTTCCTCTCTAGATACTTTCTTACTACTACTGTTTTCTTGTTTGATGCTTCTGTTGTCGGTAAAATACAAGTCAGACTAGATGGTTGCTCAGTATCTCGGTGTCTGAGGAACTTAGGAGAAATTCAATGGAACAGTTATTTTACGTAAAGGTATCTTGATTGCATACTGAGAGAGGACAGAGCAAAGAATGAATTAACGGATAAAGTAAGTTTTAAGATGTGACTACAAATTTGAGTTCTGGATTTTCAATGAAATATCCAGGTAAGGGATAACACTGAAGTTTGTATTGAGAAATACTGACTTTTTTTTTTTTTTTCCTTTGCTGTTTACCTTGTGCTTGCATCTTTCGCTGTTACAGGTTGAATTTATTTTGAAGCAGGTCTCCTCCTTAAAGGAGAGCTCTCAAAATAAGAATGTCCCTCTATAGCCCTTTGGTGGCACTCTAATAGTCCCATTACAAAATTTTAGTTCAGGAATCATTCTTTCTAAATGTAACAGTCCATTAATATCATAATAAACAGAAGAGGCAAGGCAAACGGTCTACTTTCTCTAGGATTTATAACAGATAAACACTTTCTCTAGGATTTATTTATTTAGGTTTTATAAAGACAGATGATCTTCTCTTCCTTTCTGAATCTTTCTTTTCCACTCAGGAAGAAAAAACAATGCTAATAGCTTAAAAAAGTAGCATGGAATTACCACTGTCACATTTTATTCCGTCCCTGATTTGTGTAGGGTGAATATCTAGTATTTTTCACTTCTGAAGCTATTCTTCCAGTCTTTGAGAGATCCTTGGAGTCCTCAAGGAATTTGCCTTTTGTGCATCTGCCCTGTTTTACAGAAATGCTCTGCTAATTAGTGGCAGCCCTGAAGATGCTGACATTTGTTTCTTGCCCTCTCCCAGGAGCAGCTCGCTTGGGTGAGGAACAGAAGATGATCTTTCAAAGCTTTTCCTTTGGCTCATCTTCCAGGGAGGGGTATGTCCCTTTGTGCCTCAACTTGAAAAAAAACCTGAAAAGCGTTGCAGCTTTTCTTTAGAGTCACGCTTGCGCCTCAGCTCTTCCTTTGCACAGGGACGAGAGGCTGTGGTGGTGACGGAAAGAATTCAGAATTAAAGTGCCGCTCCGTGTCCCCTCTCTCCTTCCTGTTGGTCTTTTGTCATCTTTTTGCCCCAAGTGGAAATGACACGGTCGTGTTCTTCCTCCGGGATTTCTTTTTTTTTTAATTGTACAACTAAATATTATTCCAATGACTTCACTTTAAATAACAATGTTGAAGGAGGAAGAAGTAGTCATAGTGCACCACGGACAACATTGTGTCAGGCTGACTTGCCTCCCCCAATTTTTCATTCACGTTTCTACTTTTACTTGTTCTGTGCTTCAGGTTGTTTTTATATTTAGCGATGACAGTAATGTTAAAGTTGTAGAAAAAGGACTCCAGGGAGAAGATTGCTATGTCTGCCTGTTGTCATCCATCCCAGGTATTGTGAATCTGGAGGACCCTCTGCAGCTTCTCCATCAGACTCCGCAAAACCGACCTCGCACAAGTCAGAGAAAACTGAAGTGAGGTCGCAGAGCCAGCACCTTGTAAATGCAAACCCTGTTACGTGCGACTGAGAACCTCACTTGTTTCAGTGCTGGAAGACTCTGAAAAGCAATTTTTTGTTTTTATTTTTTCCTCCCGATGAAAGAGGCAAATGGAAAAACTCTTTGTACTTTCACCCAGGCCAGAGGAGGGCAAATTCTGGGAAACACCATTCAGCAGTTCATTGGTCCAAAGGGATCCGTTGATGCCTCCATCAGCCTGACCGTCTCCTGTAGGTGTTTCAGCGCTGGCGGTCCTCCAGCGCGAGGAGCGTTTTTCAGTGCCGTCCTTCAGTGCCTAACAAAGCTCTTTGGCCTCTGTAACTGTGGATTTGCATGTCCCTGAAGTATTGTGCTGCCTGACGTAGAGCAGCCATACGTATTAGTGACTTGGGAATCACACATTCATCTTTCTGGCCCCTCATCTCAGGGAACGGGAACAAACTCGAGCTCAGGTCTTGAGCCCTAAAAATTTAGACGTTCTTATAAGACCGTGACTGACTGTTGGTTGGCTTGATAACTCCGTGCTGTGTGTTGCTTCTCAAGATGAGAAAGCTAGAAAACCTCGAAAAAAGCTTTAGCTCTTCCTTATCTCTGAACTAAATCGTGAGCTGCTCCTTTGTGTCCTGGAGGCTTTCATGTTTTTCCATACCTGTCAGGCTATCTGTTGGGAGTCTCTGATTTCCTTGTGGTCTGTGGGTTTGTCCGACCGGATGCTAGGATATTGTTGATCAGCCAGGCAAATACTGCCCTGTGTTTCACCCCTTGCCCTGTTAGGAGATGTCTAAGCCGAGCTAGGATGCAGACGATAATGGGACAAAAATATTACATTTCAGGCAAGTGCCTATTTTGGAACGTTTTCGTATTGTAAATGCACGTCTTCCGCTGTCCTTCACGGAGGACTGCTCCATGGTCTCGTGCCGTTGCCTGCGCTAGGGTGCCCGTGACAAAATACTCTCTTTTTCAGTTCTTCAGGCTGTTCTGCTCCGTCTCTGGGAGTTGGTTTGCGTTCACGGTGTTGAGGTGATTAGGTAGCGCTCCGCCTTGGTAGAGCTGGTATCTAGCAGCTCAAGCAAGCTGCCTTCTGCTTTGCAGTACTCCGTTCCCTGATGGGGTTGTCTCTTCGTTCTCGGCAGCATCACGTGTAATTCTGGTATGATCTTAGGAAATTCTTGAAAACGGTTTGCTTTAGTAAAAGCAGTCAGTTCCAGGGGGAGGAAAGGAGCAGCAGAGATGTAATGTAACGTCAGTGCGGGTTTGCAGACTTTCAGGATCTTCTCCCCGGATTTTTTTCAAGCAGAACAAACTCGGTCCCAGGCTTTGGTTTTGTACTAGAGCGTCGGAACGCTTTCGGTTTCTCAGCTTATTACGTTTTTGTTTTTAACATCTTTTTCCCCCGAGCGTACTGCTTTTATAACGTCCATCAGTAGCAGTTTTGTGTTTCTTTATTTGTATTCATTTTGTGACATGTGTTTTTGCTTTGCAGCTTGCACCAGGTGCCATTCCCGTAGGTATTGGGTGTTTTGTTTGCACAATGACTTTTTATATTTGGAAATGTGTGCGTTTGTTTTTTTTTTTCCTTTCTCTTTTCCTGTCCCTCCTCCGTTTTGCTCTGTCCTGTCAGCGTTGCTGAGAGACTGGGGCAGTCACTGGTTTTGTGAAGCCTGCAAAGAGCCCTTTAAACGCATCGACCCAAATTCACCTGGGGTGTCAACCTGCGTAAGTCAGAGGAGTGGCACCATGGTTAAGTTGTGGTTGCTCTGTGGGTTCACGGGGTAATTATAATGCTTTTGTACAAGAATCTCATGCTACAGAAATTATTTTTTTCATCTTAAAAAGTATCTAATAATCAGCCTGAAGCATGCAAGCCTTACCGGGTTTGAATTTCGTGCTTGAGACGGTCCTTGCAGGTTGCACGTGTGCTCTGTCGTGTGGATTTTGATACTTTTCTGCTTCGAATCTGCTGAACGGTTTATCAGTGATTAGCTAGGCTACCCAGCAGAGCGGTCAGGAATCGCAACGCTCGAGTCTGAGCCCATCTGAAAGAGAAGTTTAAAAAAAAAAAAAAATCTAAGTAACGAGGGTGACGCTGATGGATTGTTTCGCACAGTTGTGTGCTCTCCCAGTATTTGTCCGATAAAACGTTCGTGATTAAGTCGAGCAGGCTTTTTTTCGGCATAAAATGTAATTAAAACGTAAAGACGTGACAGTGCAAAGATTAAGGAAGCAAATTGCTTTGCAGAGCCAGTACGAACAGAAGGAGTGGAAGCAGGCATTGATTGCAGCAAAGGCGATTTGGCTTGTGCATCAGGATAAAACGTCTGCGATGGGGATTGCTAGGCTGTAGGGCAGATCCCCTTCAGAAGGGTGTGGGGTTTCCATCGTTGGTGTTTCTTAAAAATAAAATAACGAGAAAGTAATGTGTGTGTTCAAAATGGCACGGCAAGCGAGAACTGTAACTCCTGGCCTGGACTTTTGTAAGTGAAAGTGTTAGACCGACTTGACGACGTCTGCAACGTGAACAGTTATTGGCAGTTGCCATCCGTAAGTTTTCACAGGGAAAAAGAGATTACCTTTTGTATTGCTAGTTGTAAACTGAATTTTAATTCTGTTGGGAGTTGGCGTAGATGCAGCAAGGCTTTAGGCAATAGGAAACCATGCGTCTGGAATACTTGGGTGTTTCTTTTGCATAGCTTTCCGCAACTGGAAAGGTTTATCGTTTAAGTAGTATGATTTTAGTTTTCCCGAAACCTGAATCTTGAGCGTGTTTTGGATTGCTAAAATACATTTGTTTCTCCTTCCGTTGTCCTAATCTATCCTCGTAGTTGTTTGCTATTGCATTTGGTGTAGTGTTTCAGGTAGTTGACGCGTTTACACCTGCTGTATTATTGGGATTTAGGAACTTTCCGTTTTCACTTTTAAAGATCTTTCTGTAAAAGTAATTATGGAGCAGTGACAAGAAGGAGGGAATGCCAACTAACTTTCTAGAAACATTGTGCAAACAGTTTCAGAAATGGAAAGTCCAGTTGCAGACGGATCGCTCTGACGACTTAATTGCCTAGCTAAAGAGGGGGGGAAAGATGCTGAGCGATTTCATCCAGGTCACCTTTCGCAATTCTGTCGTATCGACAACACAGGCACCCCAGAAAGCTCCCTTGATTTGCCGGGTGTCTCTGGACGCCCACGGGACGCGTGACTCAAAAAAGACCTGTGTGCCCGCTCTGGGGGGGCATCGCGAGGAGCCGCTGCTCACCCCATCGTGCCGGGAGCCGTTGCCGTCTGGGATTTGGGTTCCCAGCAGGTGCCCTCAGGAAGTCTCAAATAACAAAGTACAACATCTTGCGGTGTTATTGTTTTGCTTTGTTATCTTAACGTGTTGCTTGCTCCTGAAAGGTAGCCGGAAGCCTTTTTGCTGTTGTTTTGATCTGATCAATTGAGAAATTCATGATACTGCATCAGTATATGGTGATTTTCGTGTAGGCACCAACAGAATCTCTGAACAGTGTCTGTTTAGCCACGTGCTGCAACATGTCCAATTACGTTACTGCACTGCGTCCACTCGACTGTTTTATTACTGTATTCATCAAGATAGGGTGCTTTTGTTGTTTTTAATATGCTTTATAACAACTACTTGAATCTGCTTTTTTTACTATTGATAAGTAGCACTTGTTTAAAAAGTATCCTTTTTTAAAGGAAAAAGCACCTTGTTAACCTGGCAGGTATAGGTATTTGCTTACTGTTTGGGTTTCCTTAACCTATAAAGAATGTTTTTTGAAATGTTTTTTCTTCCCACTAAAGTTTAGGTGGTGGGTTTTTTCTCTCTCTTTTTTTTCCCTCTCCAGACTGTCATTCACAGTATTGCACTTTCTGCTTATTTGGTTTGCAGCTAAAACAAATGCTTGCATTAATTGTGTAATTGAGAACTTAGAAGTTCATGTGAATTTATAATAGGGTGCTCCTTTTCCCCCCCCCCCTTCTTCCAAGACAAAGGATCCTCAGCTCCATCTCTTCCTCAACGATTACACTGCGTTTTTCACTGTGACTCAGACTGGCATAACCCGCTACCTCACCTTGCTGCAGCCTGTGGACAGGGAAGCCCAGCAGCTGTACACGTTTTCGGTAAGCTACCTGCGCTGGGGGCACATCCAGCTTTGTTCAGAGTAAGCACTGAAAAATCCTTAATGCAACATCATTGCCGCTTATTAAAATGGCCCGGAGGGAGGAAAAACAGAAGGATGAGCAGCAGCACTGCCAGGTGGTGTTGGGAGGCTGATCTTGGGGTAGTATGATTCAAAACGCGGGTTTGGGTATGGGGGGAAGAAAGGCAGAAAGAAAGAAAAGCCAAAAGCACCTTAAATGGACTTGGGACTCCCTCCACCAGTTAGCGGTTTGTACCTGAGGACGATGCGTCTGCAGGATGGTTTGGGCAGCCTTGCAGCTGAGATACTGGATGGGGGACTGTTTCCCCGGGAGAGAAATATTTCCCTCTTATTTGTCATGCTGTGCTGAGGTGGTAGATTTTGAGGCGCAGCGTCACATGGTTGTTTCCCTGTGTTTGGCCCGCTGCAGGCGCGGGCTCTGTTGAAGCCTCCTGTAATGCGAGCAGGAAACGAGTCACAGTCGGCGCCGGCTTGGGAAGGTATTCCTGGCCTGTTGAACACTGTTTCAGCTAATTTTTGGTGCAAGAAACGCTGGCCGCGTTAGGGGGGGGAAGACAACGCCAGTGCAGTATGAAGTACTTTGTGATTGTGTTGCCCGAAACGTATTTCTTCTTCAACGGTAGCTGAGGGTTTCTTCCAAACTGCCAGCTGGATACCTATTTGTGAGGGGAATAGTCACTTTGAAATACAAAATCAACGGGCAAAGCAGTTGCGTGCAATTACAATATTTTATTGAGTGTATCTTGTTCATTTAATAGTAGTCTCTTATGTTACGTGATTTTATGCTCATCGTTTAGTGGTTGATTTTTTTAGTTCAGACCTTGCTGCACCTTTCTGGGGATGGAATTTACCAGCAAGTGTAAACTGAAATGAGCAATTGAATTTTGGTTTTTACTTGTTACACTCGATTTTCTCATAGTTGTAATCCTCTTAAGGGCATGCTATTGAAACGAGTTCCCGTTCTGCTTTTTTTCCCCCTCTTCAGATGACCGCTTCGGATGGTGTGCAGGAGAGTGCCCCGGTGACGGTCAATATCCTGGTGATTGATGCAAACGATAATTCCCCAACTTTCTCCAATATATCATACAATGTCAAGATTTATACAGACATGGGGCCCGGAGAAGGCGTTGTAAAGGTAATTTAGTTTTTACCTTCTGATCAGACCTGCACTGTCACGGAGAGCACCGTTATTTTGCGTGTTGAGACTTGAACCAACTCAAAAGAAATACTAAAATGGTTGGAGGTTTATTGAAATAAAATAGCGTGAGATTGTGTAAACAGTTCAGTAGGACTTACCCAGACGCGTTTTTAAGTTTTTATGGAAGCCTGCATCCTTCGTTTGTGGAGCAGCTGAGCGGCGAAAAGTATGACGAACGCTAGCACCCAAAAAAAGGAGAAGGTCGAGAAACGGTTTTAATGTGTGCGTGCAGTGATCTATGTTTGAGTGCAGGCCTGAGGGGTGAACTCTGGTCGCACTGAAGTTAATGGGAACGCGCTTTTCTTGGAGGATAGTTGTTCTGAGATGTCTGGCACGCTTCAGGGTGTTTGCAGGTAGATGGATGAGAAGGCACGGAGATGGTGGTGGAGGGCAGCATTCAAGGAGAATACAAGGCAGTAGGAATAGTCAGAAAGAATTCATCAGCTGACCTAAGTAATTAAATACTTCTTTTTTTCCTTCTATAAATATAATCAGCAGCTAAGTGTTTGAGGACGGCAGTGACTGCCCAACGTTAGGAGGGAGTGCAGCGTCTGTTTCCCTGGGTGGGAACTTGGCTAACCCCGGAGCAGACCTGCAGTGGGTCCCTTGTGGAGTTGCAGTTGGAAACGAATAGGCTGGGACTTAAGGCTTTAACCTTGCCTGAACTAAAATGTAAAGCAGCTTGGAAAATACGAGAGTCCTGAGAGTGAGTTTTTACCTCCTCGGCACTTCCCTCTGCAAGCTCACCGCGTGGCGTGGTTGCCCCCCGACGAAGGGCTAGGTACTTAGGTACTTCCAGCCTCTGGCTGCTTGGCGGGGTTGGTTTTGCGTTAGCCTCCAGCTGCCGGATTATCTGTGATTGGAAATTGGCTGGCATTAAAAAAAAAAAAAAAACCAAAAACAAAAACCTGTGTGGCTTAAGATTTCTGAGTACTGTGGTAATGCTAAAAAGTAATGATGATGATTTTGGACTGCTAGTGTACTTGGACACTTACTGACCTTGTTATTTTGCCCAGGCTGTGGGCACAGAGTGTTTAGTGCTGTATTATGGAGGTGCTAAAAAAGGGTGGTTCCTTTTTTATTGTTTCTTCTGGAGTTAAGAGTAGCCGCTGAGTGGGTGATGCCAAGAAGGCTCATGGGTTTCCTTAGGCCAGAAGGGCTGTTAACCCTTTTTTTTATTTTTTTTTTTTGCTTTATAAATGCCTTTTCCTTCCAATGGAAAACAAGACTTACGCTTTTTTTTTTTTTTTTAACTGCTGATTTTAATGATGTACTTGCCTTGTTCTCTCTGTGTGGAACAAGCTCGCTCACCCCGTAGCTCATCCTCATCGCTGGTTTAGGGATTATTTCAGTTCGTCTCCTGTGAGATGGCAGGTCAGTGAGGGCCGTTCCGGGGAGAACGGGAAATGACCCGGGGCAGATACAATGAGCCTGTAAAACCACTTCTTTTCATCACAGAAAGTAGGCTAGAAAAAGAACAGGGACCTCAGTGCATCTGTATAATCTGATAATAATTTGCGTGTAAGCACCGGCTTGCCCTTAACTGGCTACTTGGACTGTATGTTCAGAGATCATCAAGAAAGTATTTTGAGTATGAAACTCCCGCTTTTCACTCTTTTCAGTGCCTTCTTTCCTGGGAAATCATTTTGATGTTGCTCCTGAAAGAAAAGGATAGACAGTATTTTGGATTCAGTATTTGCTCTGCGGTGCGCTCTTCCAAATACTGACGTCCTTAGGCTCTGCTTAAAAGTAAACCCAAATAGCAGGGGGAAAAAATGACTTCAAGTTAAACTGTTTCTCCCCCCCCCGCCGCTCCGGGTAATTTTTTACAGGGGAGGTTAGAGCAGGGAACCCGCTTCTCGCCTGTCGGTCGCACAGGTTTAGCGGTAGCTTTGTAGCTTTTTTGCCAGGAAGGAAATGAGCGTTTTGCCGTAGATTTGCCCAAAAGCTGGAGTGGGTCCCTGCAGAGGAGCTCACCGTCGTCGTGGCATCGACCTGCCTCCGCTGTCTGAGGGTTCGGCGCGGGGCAGGAACCTTCTGCTCCTTGACGACTTGCAGGATGGCTTGGTGTGTGCTGTTGGGCTGCTGAAAATAGTATTGGTTTTGGATGGTTTTTACTTAAATTGTCTTCTTGGAGAACTTGTAAGACTGTTTGAGGCCTTGGCCAAGGGGAGTAGTTTATTGGTGGTGATTTACGTGTCTGCGTATACCCTCCTTTGCAGCTTGAGAAATTCTTACTCGGTTGTTCCCGCTGTTTTTGTAGTGTTTTTTTTTTCCCCTCCACATAACAGACGATAGCTGCTTGAGAAATCTGCCGTTTGGAACAGTTAAACGTGTGGCAATCATGTTGCCTGTTGCCACTAGAAAGACTAAATAATGCTAAACCTGTAAAAATACTTAATTCCAGCTTTTTTTATTCTTAGAATTTTACTGTCCTGATTTTCGGTTTCCGAGTAGTACTTTGTGTTCCTGGCGGTTCAGCTATTTGAATCAGTTATCACACTTTATCAATGTAACTGGAGTATGTAGCTATAGTGCAATCATATCTTTCACATAGGTCATTTAAATTCACACTATGATGTTTTTCTCTTTAGACCTCTCTCATTTCTATGTACAACGCAAAAGTAGGCAGGACATGGAGAACATAAAGCAAGAAAGCGAGCTGAGAACGGGCAGAGGATGGCAAAAAGCAGAATCCCCCTGGATCTTTGCGTAAACTTGCCCGAGGGCCAGAGACTGACCTGGTGCATCAAGAGTGCACAGGGTGTGTGTGTGTATTATATATATATACACACCCATATATGTGTGTGTAGTGTATATATGCACACATGTATATGTATATATGATACACACACGTACATATATATACACATACATATTTTGTACATTCTGTCTACAAAAAAATTCCTGAACAACCCTCAAGAATTATATGTCATTTTTCTTCTTAGGACCTCTATTTCAAATCTATGAAACAAAGACTAATTTATCTGCAGATCTTAATTTCTACCTAATTTCTTGTTGTGGAGATACAGCCCATAATCAGAGGAGACTTTTAAGGGTACTGTTGTTTTTTTTTAAAAAAAAAAAAAAAAAAAAGCTTTTGGGCTGCAAAAGGAATAACAAGCTGTGGATTGAATTAGGGCGTTAGCTGTTCAACTTGTGAGGACCGAAGTGATTACGCCCTCGGATCGCACGTACGAATCAATTGGGAGGTCCTGCCCTAGGTCTGGGTTGCACAGAGCGCTTAACTTCACACGGCTTGGCATAAATGGCCGTTGTGCCGAAGGCCAGAAGCGAAAGCAAAAGGAGAAAACACGGCAGAGCTGCAGGCAGCAAATTTTCTGTCACTTACCTCTCGTTCACGGTAGAATTAGTCTTGAGCAGCAGCAGTAATTTCGGTTGCATGTCTTAGGGTTTATTGAAACGGTTATTTGCAACCTTTTGTCTTCAGTTCCATCGCCACATTAATTTCCAACTGCCAAGTAAATGCTGTGAAAAGAAATATACATAAATCAGGTCATCCTTGCATTCCTCAGTAAATGCAATGATATACTCGAGTGAAAATATAATGGAGAGAGATTTAATGAAATGGCTGCAGCAAGGACTCTGTTAGTATTACACGTTTTTAGCCCAAATTGGGCTGGAGCCTTGTGCTTGCTTGATGGAGAGGCTCGTTGCAAGGGCAGCCGTTGGGAGGCGCGCTGGCTTGGCGGGCAATTTTTGCAGCATTCGCTTTCTACGTTTTTGGCCAATTAAACATAACTACCAGAATGGTTGCGAATTGCTGCACCGCTTCAGAACAAGTTCACTAAAACCTCAGTTTGACTGCAAAAAGGTTGCAGGCCACCTGCTGAAGTCCGCTTTCCTCCAACTGTAGAGTAAGCGGCTCTGAACAGAGCTTATGCGGTCGCCAGGGGCGTAGCTCAAAAAGCTGTAAGGATGAAAATAGGTGGTTTTGTACGTTTACCTCTTCCATCTAAGAACACCGCTTCTTGCTGCAATGTATGCCTGTTCTGCAACACTTCCAATACGTCCCATTTTAAGGTAATGGATCTAACACTGCGGGGTGTAAAAAGTGTCTTAAAAGTAAAATAAATCCTATTTTGCACTTGCCTGTGTATTTTAGACATGATACACTTCTAAAATCTTGTTAACTATGAAGCTCTATCGGCCTGGGACAGCTGGAGACTGAATTTCTAGGATCACAGATTATGGCAGCTCTTGCACTTCAGTTCTACTTTTTATTCATATTTTTGCCCTCAAAATGTTATTCAAATCACTTATCTTTTCAAGCTTTCAGTATTTGGAAGTTTATAATTAACCTTATTAATTTAGGTACTTGTGTATTCAATTATTTTCCCTTTTCGTGTCGTCACAGTCAAAACTGGCCTTGCTCCAAATCGCGTGCTTAACCGCTTAGGATGTATTTTGCATAAAGGCTTTATTTATCTTTTTGTGTGCGTTACGTTTGACGTTCAGTAGAGAAGGTTATTGCAACGCTTCTCCTAACTATGCCACTTAGTCTTTGCAAGGTCAATGAACGTGTGCCATTGTGTGTAGAAAGTATCGAACGATCGATTAGGGGAACGGTTGTGAAACATTTTTGTTTTAAACCCTGGGAGAGTGCAGAAAGGCTGGTTTATATCCTGCGTTTTGAGATGTTGATTTTTCCCTGGCCGTTGCAAGTTGATATGATCAATACACCAAGACATCGTCGTGTGGATGCAACGTAGAGCAAGCGACGAAAGTGTGGTCTTCACATGATGACTTTTTCACAATTTCGAAAGAAAATGTAGAATGAGAGAGATGCTCTGCCAGCATAACATGGGTATTAATTTGGTTTCTAAGTGTCTAAGAGGAGTTGGTCTCTTTTTCAGTGTTTCGTGGTTTGAGAATATTTCAGGTGTTTTACTTTGTGATCAACATATTGGGGTCCATCTCAGAAAAGTATAAATTAAGATATTTTGCCGATTCAAAGGCAGTAGTGATCAGTTTTGATTGTTGGAGTGAGGCATCTGTGACAAAGAAATTCGAATAAAATGAGCCTACTCAGATAAACCAAAGTTAAAAACACTTAGGTTGGAAATTTACTTTGGTTCAGTGTGCAAAAACAAGGTAAAACACCGATGGCTTCGGGCAAAAAGGGACATAACTAACAGGCTTTTCCGTTGGGGAAGGCTCTGTACAGCCCACTTATTCCATGCTAAAAATGCTTGGTCCTCCCCAGCAGTAACTCAGTCCTCAGTAGTAGTTTGTGCTCTGAACCAAGCAGGTAAAGCCCAGTTTTGCAGAAGCACCTAGATCGTTGTCTTTTAGCATATTGATTAATTCATTCTATTTAAGCTATTCTGGGCATAGTTACTGGTTTTGAGCTGGTTTATCACTTCGCACGTTGAATTTGGTGTTCCACCCAGCCGATCCCAAGGCAGTGTCAAGATTATTGTCTAAAGCAAGCGAGAGCCTGGAGTTTTTGAGGCGCTCCCCGTAGTGTTTAGTAAGGCGTGCAGATGCGGTCAACTTGAGCATCACCGCCTTGGGTTTCGTTCTTCGTCTCCCTGCTTGCTTTAGTCGCGCGGTTTACTTTCTCCTCTTTGAGTTTTGAGTGGTCTTGGGCGAAGGGGCTGTCAGGAAACGCCGCCTAGGCCTTTCAAAGCCACCGTTTTCTGCAGAGGTGGCCAACGGAGGCGCCATTTTCCTTGGCGTAATACAGATGAAGTGAGCCGTGCGCCGCGCGGTGGCGTGCTCTGCGTGCAACACCTCGCGCGAAGACGGAGGAGAGGTGCAAGGGCTCGAGTAAGTCGCTGGGCTGGGACCTGGCACAGCTGAGGCCCGGAGGGAGGTTTGTGGCTCTGTTACATACAGCAGAGGTCTCGTTTGACGTCTCAGACTGGTAGTGATTTGCTTTATTGCACCTGAGGCAGAGTCCTCCAAGCGCTTGGCTAAAAGCAAATCTGATTGCTGAGCTGTTCTTTCAGACCGCTGCTGCCTGTCGATACTTGATTCAGGCTGTCCCGATGCAGGACTGGGGTAAACCTACAGCGTTTCCCTGGGGGCGAGGAGAGAGCCTCCTCGTCGCGCTGCTAGCAAACTGCTGGTCGTCATTATGAACTGAGTCTAAGATGCTAGACCTTAAGTTTTTCCCCGAAAATCAAAACTGTACAATTATGTGGAAGAAACACTCTATTTGAGAGTCCCAGTGGAGAGCTGGCGTAGAGGGAACGTAGTAGAAGCACACGCGAAGCTGGGTTTAGTACACGGCTCTGAAATTGCCCCCTTAAGCGTTGCTGCCAGGTAGGTGGTGTGCGCATCGGTGACGTGCAGGGTTGCGTTTCCTCCATGCAGGGACACACGCTGTCCTCCGGTTTCCCTCAAAGAGGGCTTATAATGTAAGATATTAGAATTTATGGCAGTAACAACATGGTCCCTGTGAAGATGGTAGAGAAGGATGGGAAGCTTCGGTAACCAACTATGACCCTCTTGTTAAACTTACACCACAATAAATATCTTCCTCCCTCCCCCCCCCGCCCCTTTTGAGGAAGCGCTATAAATTCCAGTCAAAGGAGAATAAACCTGGTCTTAGTTTTTGTAATTCATACCTTTTAAAATGTTTGCAATCTCAAATAATCAGTTTCTCTCTCCGCTGCATGATTTTCTTGCACCTATTGTACTTAACCGCAATCCTTGTTATACCGTACTGAGAAATCGCCACGTTTTGAGTGTTCAAGTTCTCCCTCACCTCTGCTTTCCCTATCCTTACCAAGTTGCCTTATTAAACGCAATTAAAATACGACATTGGATTGTGCGTGCTGACATTCTGGTTTTGAATTGCAGCTCACCGCTGTAGATGCGGACGAGGGACCCAACGGACAGATAGTATATGAAATTCTGGCTGGGGATCAGGGAGACTTCATCATCGATGACCGAACAGGCCTTATCACCATTGCTCCAGGAGTTGTATTGTCAGTGGGGCGCTCCTACGCTCTCACTGTCAAAGCATCTGATAATGCTCCTCCTGCACAGAGAAGGTAATTTTGTCTTAAAATGAACGTAATTTTTGTAATTGGTGCGTAGCTGTGCACAGGAAGTATGACACGCTGTCGTATTTCCGTAACTGTGAAATGGAGTACGACTCGGTGTGTTCTCTGGGGTGTAACGATCTCATGTTGGACAGTCGACGTGCTAGAAATTAGTTTAATGCTTTCACTTTTTGTCCTTTATTTGTATTTTTTCATCCAGCACACACATTTGGCTATTGCATTTGATTGTAATGGTCTGTTTGTTAAGAGTTGGCATGGTCTGTTTGTTAAGAGTTGGCATGTTGTGTTTTAGTTGTGCACACGCGTTTGTTATGAGATTCTGAAAGCAAAAGGATAAGAGGAAGAAATGAAGCAAGTGAGAAGCTGGATGCTTGCTGTGATGCAAAAAGGATCAGGAATAGGCTGGTCACTGAGCTGGAGACCTTCTCTGCAGGTTTCAAATGCGTAAGGTCACCCAGAGTTGGTACACGGGGTGGACGTAAATGACAAGCTAACAAACGGTGACCAGTACCCCACTAACATCTAAATTCTCCCTGGCAGGATGTTTATATTCTGCACCAGCTGTTCTAAGAGGAATTTTCAAATTTACTGTGTGGAGAATAGGGGGCGTGCCCATGTTCAAAAAATAAAGGTACCCAGGCCCACTTAACGTGTTTCTTTTGATTTTGTGTTCTGCATTTTGAAATCATGCAAAAGTGTTGCCGTTTCACTTAGGTGTGGGGTTAGGACAGTGTATAAAAATGGCTCATGTGATAGGTTCTGGACAGGGGATGATGATGATGATAAGGCAGCCTTCTTTGCCAAAGAGGATGATGGGGGAGGGAGGAAGAGTAGTCTCCAGCATTTACATCTGCCACATATTTGTCCGTTTTCTGCGGAAGGGGAGTAGAAGAAAGGAAGATAAACGCAAAAGTTGAGTTTCACCGGTTGAATTTTCCTCCTTTTTATAATTACACTTCCAATCGCTGACTTATTAGACTGCTCGTAAAATCAGTGTCTGAGAACCCAGTTGGCCAACTGCGGTTTGCCCTCTGGGGTTGGCGTTCTCACCAAGCCCTCTCTTAGGCGAGCTGATGGTAGGCTCTGAGGAGCGTTGAGGACAGGGCTGTGGACTGTTAGGCACTTAGCTGTAGTACTAATACATTAGCTGTAGTACTAATACAGTGATAAAGTTGAGGGCAAAAATTAGTAATGCCACTTCAGAATCCAGCAGTGTGGCCAGCCGGCAACGGTAGTCCCCGCAGCACGGTTTTGGTTGTGAAACTCCTTTTTTGAAACTCCTTTCCGCATCGCCTAATGATTAGTCTCTTCTGTCGGGCTGCGAAGTGGTTCCTCTTTCGCCGGTGGGCTCAGAAGAACAACTCGCTCGTGCCTGAGCGAAGCACTCACCTTGCGTAAGGTGGCTCAGGCGGGCTGGGTGGGAGCAGTAACCGGTAGCTGCAGCAGGCCGGGTCCTTCCTCCTCTTTATCCGCAGGCATGAAGAGCGTGTGCCCTGTAAAAGAGTAAGGATTTTGACTTCAGACAAAAATGTTTTTTTTTTTGTTTGTTTTTTCCAAACCTGGGTTCTGCTGCAGGGCACATCAGGGTAACTGCAGCCACGTACCAACTGCCTGGCTTTCAGCTGCTCCTTTGCTACGCACAGAGCGAGACCAAATTGCTAAACGTGGCTCAGGACCGGTAGGCTTGTAGCATTTGTGAAGGCAAATTTAAATGGAAACGCGTTGTGCGTGGCTCTTCTGCAGAGCACGGCACATTTAATTCTTGGCAGGTGACTAAGTAGGCATGCGCCAAGATATTTTGCTGAGTGCTATTAAAGTTTCTTATAAATGTCGTTAGCATGTCAGAAGTTATTGAGATGTAGTTACGTACTTAAGTATATTTAAGTTTATACAGAGTATAAAGGTTTGAAGATGAATAGTTGTTGTTTTGTTTTGTTTTGTGTTTTTTTTAGAAGTTACGGTGAAGCGTATAATGAGGAGCAATTTCTATTATTGAAAGAAGGGCGAGGGGGGAAGCATTTGTAAAAATCAAGCGACCGTAGTTCGGACCTCAGTCTTTTTACCAGCTTCCTTGGGTCCTACCTTATACGGAGAGACCCGCCGCTCTTCGCCATGGCAGTGGTGAGCCCGCTCAAGTCCGATATGAAAACGACTTGGCCGTGACATCCTTGAAATGCAGAGTGAAAATAAACGTGTTTGCTCTTTGGCTCGTGTGCCTAGAGACAGCGTTTGGCCTGATACGTGTCCACGCGTGTGTATAAAAATGTTATTTGTTGCACGTTAGATAGTAGTGTTGTATGCACCTGTCCGGGCAGCGTGAGAATGCCAGCGGCGGCAGCTCTGGGAAGGCTCCGTTCTGCCTCCTCTCCTGTCCTGTCCTCTCCTGTCCTGTACGGAAAGAGACTTTGCCACCCGCTGAAGTGGGCTACATACAGCACACGCAAAACAGATGGGTAAAATCACAGAGCGCTGAAGTTCTCCAAAAACGATTTGGGAATGAGAAAGCTGGCCATTTAATATTATAACATCATTTTTATTACAATGTTCATTTACAAACTGCTAATGTTTTACTTGTGTCACCTTAAAGATAGGAAGAACATTTTCTGAGCATTACGGTGAACAAAAAGTGTTTGTTCTTCTTCTAAGAACTCAACAGATAAATGAGCTGTGATATTACTAAGGCGTAGCCGAATCAGGAAAAGACGATACGGAACAAAATAAACGTTTATTAAATACTGAGCAGTGGAAGAAGTAGGCACGCTAAGCTTAACTCTTTGAATGTGCTCGTCAAGCACAGTCCGCAGGTGTCCGAGAAAATAGGGCCGTCTCTGTGCTCCAGTGGTTTTTGTCAGCTCATTCGTTGTATCTGGTTTTGAGCGTTCGGTGGTGGTTGTTTTTTATCCCAGTGACGTAAGCGTGGAACAGGTATTCCTAAAGATTAGTGGGATATAACAGGGTGTCTTAAAACATAGGCAGGGAAGTTTAGTAGGTTACTGTAGCCTGTAAATGCAAGTGATCTAATCCACTTCATTCATTCAGAAGTGTCCCTCTTCCCCTTAATTGACTCGGTTTGTCTAGACACCCATAAAACCCCACCAGGCTGGGTTTAAATCCTTACGCTCGTGGCAGCGGGGGTAACCTGGGAGAGTCTGGTTCTCCACGGGTCATAGGTGTGGATGTGCCCCTGGAGACAGGACTGAAGCTGCAGTGCAGTTACACGTGAGCGGGGCTGGAGCCCCTGCGCTGAGTTGTTGACGCTTACTTACCCTGGAGCGTGGTCAGAGCTACTGCGTGACTTGGCCTTAAAACGCAGCTGTCTTTCGCTGCGCTACAGCGGATAGTCTCGCCTCTTCCGCTGATCGATGGCGGTAAGTTGTAAAGCTTATTTGTAAAGGTCAGTGGAAAGTATCTGTAACGCGGTACTGACTGTACTTTATCAGAACCTGATGAAAAATATTGAGTAGTGATATGTCATGCTGGTATTTAATGGGGTCTATCAGTTCACACAAAAGCTGCTTGGACTAAAACTGTATCTGGTATTTTCTAGGGGAAATCTTGAAAATTATTCTGAGTTTATCCTATCCGTGCAAGCAGCAGCTCGCTGTGCATTCATACGTTTTTCCCCCTAAAGTTTTGGGACATCTCCATTTGTTCTGAAGCAGTTTCCCTCCTTCAAGCCCAAAGCTGGAGCTGTAGCGACTTTGTCAAATGGCTTATGCAGAGGAAATCTGAGCCTGCGGTGCAATGCTTGCGCTCGTCAGGACTTTGCTCCGGGGAAGCGGTACTGTCTTCGTGTTCAGGAGAAGGCAGATGGGATGGCAGAGCAAGGATGCAAGAGAAAAGACCCTCTAAGCCAAATTTGAAATCTCTCTGTTCAACTTCTGGGAGGTTTTTTGGCTCCCTTTTTAATTTAATATGACGCTTGTCTACAGTGTGTGGTCTTGGCAGTGTCTGGACTGAGCGTAAACGGCCTCAGAAGAGCTTGCGGTTCAGTTGGAGGGTTTGGGGGTGGCTTTTGCAGCTTGGTGGCTTTTGTAGCTTCCCACGTCTCTGAGGTTAGCTAGGCTGAAGCGCGCTTCGCTATTTCTAAGGGAACGGCAGTATCGGCGCAGCCCGTTACAGACTTGCGTACATCAGCCTTCCTCCAGTGTTATCCTCTCCGTCAACGTTTTTTGTTGCCTCTCTCCCAAAGAAACGGAGCAAACTGTGCAGCAGGCAGGAGCCTCCTGGGGTCAGTGCTCTGTTTGGCAGCGTGAATTAGCCTCCCCGCATCAGACGTCCCCGTCTAGAAGATGCAGTAGCACCAGGGGATTGCGAGATTTCGTTTTTACCTGAAACGTACTCCAATATTTGATTTGTTTTGCTTTTAAAGAACGCTTGGGCTACTTTTTTCCATTTTAAAATACGTCCTGAAGCTTTTAAGGGAGCAGAGGGAGATGGGTAGACCCGGAGAACATGCGGGATATAAAAGAGATGTTGCTGGTTGCCTTGCCGCACAGCCCGTTGATTATGACCGGCTTTGCTTTTTCTCTCGTTGCAGGAGCTCGATTACTACTGTTTACATTGAGGTCCTTCCGCCAAACAACCAGAGCCCTCCCCGCTTTCCCCAGCTGATGTACAGCCTTGAAGTCAGCGAGGCCATGAGAATCGGAGCCGTTTTGTTAAACCTGCAGGTACAGAAAGCTTCCCTGTAAGCCTCTGCAAAGTTACTTCTGTTTGCGCCCATGACGTGCCGAATCCAGTCCTAGCGTAGCGCAGCGGAGGGCAGCTTCTAGGGATTACAAACTGTTTGTAATAAGTAGCCCCTTTTATACACGCCGTGTAGGAAAAGCGTTTGCTTGGGTATTTCTGAAACTTTTTGATGTGTGAAATGTGCTGAAAGGTAAGCAGAAGGCTGCACGCGTAGTATGAGAAGGAACCTCATGAATGGCTCACAAGCCGAAAAGCTTGCGTTTTCTTATTTTAAAGTCTCTCTATATTGGTTTGCCCGCGGAGCAAAGAAGCTTAGGGATTTCCACACCCTCGTTCCCCTTGAATTTTTCAGCAGGGTTTTTGGCACTCTGGCTTCTTTAGCCTGGCATGCTTGAAAAAGCGTCTGAAGGATACGTATTTCCATCGCTGCACATAACAGCTACCTGCTGCTGGCTATCAAAAAGCAGGTTTTCGCTGCCTGCTTCCGCTGGCCGGTGTTGCTTGTAAACAGTGCTGCACTAACAGGCGTTCGGAGCCGGGTTGTTTCTCGGTGTGGCGTTGTATTATTAAAGGACCGACTTTCTCCTGGCGTGTTTACCGTGTCCGGTTGCCGCGTCTTGAAAAACACCTGTTGAAAATGAGTAGGCAGGTTGCAATTCTGTCGACGTTGTGGGGATCGGGGACTTTGTGTTATTATGGAATAGCTATGGCCTCAAGCGTGGCAGGGATGGATTTATGGAGAAAAGGAGGAGCAGTGGGCTTGGTACAGCGCGCTCGCCTGAGCGTGATTCCCTCTCCCCCTATAAACATTATTCAGACAGCGTGTAGAGCCATTCAGAGGGAAAAAACAGACACCCGGGCTCAAGAGCAAACATACACAGAGCCTTCTCTGCCTTAAATCAACGTAGCGCCGTTGAGGTCTGTTGAACTCCGTGGAACTGTGTGTGTTCATAGCAGCTGAGGGCGGCTCTGTGCGTTCTGCGCGGTGGGAGACCAACAAACGGTCTCACCCAAAGCGCGGGAGATACAGGCGCTTTAATTGAGTCAGTGGCGCAGGTGGATGGGAAAGTTTCTACTGAAGTAGCTTGCTGAAAAAGTGATGAAAGGTTAAGATGATTATGGATGGTCAAGGTGATAGCCACCTGCGCGGTGGGAGGGAGGGTGACTCATGTAGCTCAGTGCTGAAAATTAATTGCTGGCGTATCTTTAGTGCTGGCGGCGAGTTTAGGATTGCAGAGCCATGCTGTTCGGGTGAATTGTCCTCTCTGATGGGAGCAGCTTGGTTTTGGAAGCACCAAAGAAAAACAGGAGCCCGGAGCATGCTGAGAAGCAGAAACGTTTGTGTTTGCTTGACAGGTGCTAGAAAACACAGCTGAAGGCCTGGGGTATCTTTGGAGCCGCGAGAGCTGGTAGCAAGTTTTAGTGTTTCTGGATTCTGTGTGATTTAAATGGGATTAGGAAGTGAACGATCCTCTTGGAGTCATCTGACTGCATTAATGCTTCACTAAAAATGAAGTGTTGTAGCTAGATTTTGTTTTCCTTTGCAGACGGCCCTGGTCAAGTATGCTAAGCAAATCTGAGAGATTTACATCTGGGACCCTGTGCCGAGCAGGGCAGGGGGGAGAGGCGGCGGTCTTGCCCGCTGCTTTGCTCCCAGCCAAGAGGCTGGCGAGCGTTGCGGTGATGCAGCAGTGACTTTTCTCTTGCGGCACGGCCGAGATCCCCATGAATGAGCGACTACCGCGTTCGGAAAAGAGTGAAATGCCTCCGTTAGTTCTGAGGGCTTGGGAAGCGCTTAGAAAACATTGTCTTCCAGTTATTATTACTGCAGCAGAGATGTATCTTGTATTACCAATACGTTGTATAGGAGTTGAGTTGAGATTTGGGGTTTCTGTCGGTGAAAAATACTTAATTGTTAAAGCACAAATATGTGAGACTCCATCTGTTGCAGCTTAGTCAAAGACTGTTTCTCGTGCAAGGCTGACAGTTCTGAACATAAAATGCAGATGCCTTGCCTTTATAGCACTAGTTCAGCTGCCTCATTCTGCATTAATATGCCCATCTGTATTAAAGGGCTTTTATTGCGTGCAGTATATTTCTGTCTTCCTCTTTTTTTTTTTTTTTTTTTTTAATTCCTCATGTAAAATTGGCCAGGACATTTTAAACATTCATAAACTGATGAGTATTGGAGCTTGTTAAATCTTACGCTGTCTTTTCCACGCAAGCACAGTTATCCGTTAGTCATCTTGTATTTTTTGGTGGAATTTTAGTAGCCGCTTAAAATAGTGTCCGTAAGTAGGTAGTATGGAACACAGCAGTCCTCAAATGTTCTACAGATAGTTTCACGTGTATATTTTCATGCTGACCTTCACTGTCGTGAGTAATCTTATCAATATAGTAAGTGTTTTGGATTAAAGGCTTTACTTAGCTTTGTGCAGTAAGGTTCAGAGGTTATAATTTTATTCCTCCCTTTTGAATTTTTGAGTGTTGCATACAGTTTAAGGATTACAAAAACTGGGAGGGATCAAGCAAGTTTCTTGACTGGTCCTGAGTTAGCAAATCTGAAGATCGGCAAAACCCTGGGACGCTTTCAAGAGGATATAAATAACAAAACAAATGCAAGAATTTTAAATATGCCTCTTGTACTTCAGAGCACGTGCTCTAAAAATCAAGTGCTCTGCTTCCTTTTCTGTTAGAATTTTTTTTTGAAGATGAAGGAAAGTTAAAATTATTTCTTATATTTATTACATGTTTTAAAATATGCCCAGTTGACTGTGACCGGCGTTGCGTTTGCGAACCTCTGACATGAAGTAACGCAGTATTGAATGCTCTCCACTGTATTCATCTGTAAATAAGCCTCAGAGTTTATTGCATGCCTCGGAGGCGTTTATTGCTTCACGTTCTGCCAGCCATTATTAATTAAAGTATGCAAATAGTCTAATTTTTCTGAGAGTCTGAGAAACGGAAATAAACCCGTTGTCGTGGTCCTGATGCTTCCTACGCAAGGAGGCGACCTGAGGTCGTTACGTACAATGTCTGAAGTCGCCGTATGCAAGTGACCCTGAAACACAGAGGTTTCCAGAGAACGGTATAGATGGCTTCTGCTGGTGCGCAAGTCTTCAGTCTCGTTACTTAGGTATTTTGCATGCATTTAACCATACGTAGTAACTTGCTGGGTTGGGTTTGGTTTGAAGGAAGCCAAGAGAATTTTTTTTTTTTTTAATTGTGTTCTTGGCTAAGAATTTTTCACTTGCCTTCGCTGAGTAAAATCCCATCCCTTCGTATCAGCAGAGCGTCTGCATTTGGGTCGTAGCCTGTCCTGGCACCCTCTGCCACTCTGGGTCACCCGTAGATTTTATTAATACGTTCTCCGTTTTGTCTCTGAGGTTAATGCAAACATTGAGTGCTGTTGGAACCAGAATAGACGTGTTCGCAGGACTGAATTCAACCCTGAATTCTCTCTAGTGCTGCAGGAGGATAATTTTCGTGATGAGTTTTGTTCTAGCTTAGTCCCATCTTCCGTCTGGAGCCTGAGTTTTCTTAGCCTGTTTGTGGAAATGTCCCGGGAGGCGGTCTGAAGAGCCTTAGCGCAGCTAAGATGCATCGCATCCCCAGCTCCTGCCTTGTTTACAAGACCTGTTGTCCTGTTACAAAAGGAAATTAGATTGGTTTGACGTTATTTTGCTCTTGAGAAATGTCGCTTTGCTGTTATCCATCTCCGTGTTGTCATCTTGGGCACTTGCAAAAAATTTGATTATTTGGGTTTTTTTTTTTCCCCTGGGAATTGAGCTCCACCTGCCTGGTGTGTGATTTCCTGGCTCTGTCCTTTGCGACAGATATTCCTCGGGTTTGCCCTTCTGCAGGTTGGTCCTCCGTCAGTTTTCCAAGAAAGCTGCCGATGGCTTTGAGATTGCTTCGGTCCGTGTTTTTAAGCACTAGGACGAGTTTCATCAGGCTTTTATTTCAGCATTAAAGATGCTCTATTGGCGTACGCGTTCTCTGCCTTATCCTTTCGCTATTCCAATCTGAGATTTTACTCCTTTGTTGGCACGGTTAATTTTGTTAGTGGCTTGGTTGCAGCTGAAACTCCCCACTTGGACCTTCTCGGCATCCTCCTCTCTGCTTTGGTTGCGTGGCAGGATGCCGCCCTCCGCAGGTGTTGTCTCTGATGTGAACATTTCTGGTTTTATCCTTTGCAGTCTTTTCCGTTTCTGTCGCTTTTGCATTGACCTTTTCTGATTTACGTCCCCATATAGTTGTGCTACTGTTTCCTCTTTACACCGGGTCCCGTTCGTCCGGCCCAGCAAGGAGTACGAAATTTGTAATTTAACTGCAGTGCTCTGGAATGGTTTGTGCTTTTAATAGTGGCGCTTGTTCTCCTTTGTTCTGTCTTATTTTCTTCTAAGAAGTGCCTTGGGATGGTCGGCCCAAAGGCACACAGTCCTTGGCTGTGGTCTACAGCAAACGCTTCAGGAAAATAGATGAGAAACAGGATGGTCGTTGAAAGATGGGTGGCATAAATCTGGTCTCTCTCCTGAGCTTTTTTTCCGTGTAGACTTGTCTCGCGCTGAATCCTACCTGCCGCTCTTGAGCTCGTTGCTCTGCCTTTTTGCAATTCACGTGTTTTACTGTTTTTTCCCAGGGTAAAGCACTAAATCGCTTTGGGTTTTAACTGTTACGATACTCCAGTGGTTAATTTTCCACTTGAAAGTTTGAAGGAAAGGGAGGAGGGGAGGGGAAAAAAACAAAAAGCTTCGTAACTGACATAATTTTATCCTTTTTCTTTTCTTTTCTTTTTTTTTTTTTCTCTCTCCTTAAAGGCTATTGATAGAGAGGGAGACCCGATAAGATACCTCATTCAGAACGGAGATCCTCAGCAAGTTTTTAATCTCTCTCAAAGGTAAGTGGTAAAACCCTGAGAACGGGACTCGTGACTTCCCAGCCCGGTGGTGAACCTGCGGGCTGTGAGCAAAACAAAAGGCTCCTCATCAGACACGTTCGGCCGTTCCTCCGACCGCCCCTCAGACCTCAACGAGAGCCCTGGGAGAGCGGCGGCGCTCAGGAATTGTTCCCGGGGAGGGGGGACTGTTTGTTTGTCTGAAACGTTTTGGCGGGTAGAGCTCGCCGAGGCAGAAACGTTCCATTAGAAAGAGTGGCCAGGGATTAATTGCAAGCTTTTATACTGGTCAGCAATTCGCTGATGACAGGGATGGTTTTTGCTTTAATTTCCTGCCCCTGAGCGTTGCTTCAGAACCGTTCTTGCTTCAGCTGAGCACCAGCGTAGCTACAGTGAGGTTGACACGAAGTTATGAGTGCCAGGTAGGTCTGGGCCTGCTCCATCAACCTCTTTGTTATACCCAGGTAGCTGCCGTTTACGTCCAGAATATTGTTTTTATTGGCAGGAAAAGTGAGGGTAGAGGATGGGACAGAAGTACCCCTGCAGCCCTTTTGTTCCTGTTGGGCGTATAATTGCAGAAATTACCCTCATTTCATTTGGTGCGAGGGAGAGGTGGTACTAGAAGAAGCAGGTCTGTATTATCCGAGGAAGCTCTAAATTACTGACGGTGATGCATCTCGCGCATCCTGAGGATCAAATCGCTTGGGGATGAATGTAAGAGAAACCTTGGCTCTGTGTCCCCCGAAATTCACCCCCCAGCAAGTCCCTTCTGGGCCCAGGTCTGGGGGTGCGAGGACACCCGCGGTGTGCTGCGGGTTAGGGTACGAACGCCAAAGTTTGTTCCCTTTCGGTCTGTTGCCTCCTGGTGGAGAGGAGACCTCTTGGAAGAAGAGTCACCTTCCTTGTGTCTTGTCTTCCTGCAAAATGTCTGTGCAGTTTTCTTTTCTTCCCCTCTCCCTCCACCCCTCGCTATCCACTTGCTTTTTCCCAGGTGCTGGAATACCTCGGTAGTAGAGTAAAGCAGGACTGATGTTAAATGAAGCAGATAGTTAATGCGGTTGGCACGTGCATGCAGTAGGAGTTTACCTCAGTTTTATGTAACTATTGATACCTTTTTGGTTACGAAAGACTACTGTACTTGAGATCTGAGGTGGAGACTACGATCCTAAGTTGAATAACTGTATTCTTTATCCCCCCCCTCTCTCCCTGCTTTTTTTGAAACAAGCCCTTTAAAAAGGAGCTTTCCATATCATTTCGGTATATTTTAAACATCACAAATGAACTATCTTTCCCATCTGAACTGTTTTCTTGCGTTTTGGTGCACGCCAGTTAGTCCCTGTATAATTCCCCAGTGGGCTGCATGGCTAGGTGATACTGCCTGTCTTAGATCCGTCTCCTAGATCTGCTTTATCTAGTACTCAAAATCTGAGAACGGTGAGACGTTTTTGTTCTTTCTCCTTCGGCAGATGCAACCTGAGCCCAATCTGTCGTAATTAGGCACCTCATGATGTTCCCCAGGGAAAGGGAAGATCAAGAACTGGGGGATTAAGTGACTGCAGGTACACTTGAATCCTCGAGTGAAACGCAGTAGTTCATATCAGTCAGCCTGTTTCTTGAATGCTATTGATCTGGTTAAACGGAGACAGTATATTGCATTTGCTGAAGCACTAAGGAGAAAGACACCACAAAGGCAGTATGACGCTGTGCAGATATCGCAACAGTTGAAATAAATGCGTGCAGCCGCAGGTCAGCGTTAGCGAAGCACTGCTTGCTGCCAACGTGTTATTCGTCGCTCAGCTCTTTTTGTGCACGAGTATCGTAACAAACGAGGTGCGTTACGTTCTGTGCGCTGTTCCTCTCCTCGTGATTTCTTCTGCTCGTATTCCTAGTACAACGGTTTTTGAACAAATGCTTTAAAATACGTGTGATAAAGGTTGATTATGGTAGCTAATTGATTTCCCGAACTGGCTGGAAAAAGCAAAATCAAAGTGGGTAGCAGTTACCTGCTCGTTAGACGGTTGTTTCCCATTGGCTCTTAGCAGCCTCCAGAAAGCCCTGCCGGGATGGCCGGGGTGCTGCTTTTCCCTTGTTTGAGGAAGCCTAAATAAGACTCAAGTGGCTATGTTTTAACTGTGTAGCAATGAGAGAGGTAGGATATAGCATCTCCTGAAATGTTCTTTGCTTTGATTACTGCAGTTGGATTTTTTTTTCTTAAGTCTGCCAAGCTTTCAGTCCTAGGGAAGAGTTATGTTTCCCGCATACTGCCTCCTCTTGTAGGATCTATTTAAAGAGGCTTCTTGCTGCAACAGCTTGCCAAAGGAGTGTTGGTTATGTGTCTTTGCTGAGAGCGGTGCTGGTCAAAGTCTTAGCCTGGAACCAGCTTTTTCGAAAATGGAAAAATTTGAGGTCTTCTCCGAGGGCAAGAAGTTACAGCAGAAATCCTGGAGGAATTTATAATCTCAAACAGAAAAACCACCATTAGGTACAGATCGCATACACCCAAGAGTCCGGAAGCAGTACAGCAAGTGAAAACTCTTTTTGAGATTTTTTTTCCTTTTTTTGTTTGGTTTGGGTGTGGCTTTTTTAATAAAACCTGTTTCTGAGCAAATAGCTGTTTAGCTTGCTCGCTTCTACATGCGAGTTCAACCAGTAAAACTTAACCCTCGTGCCTGACAAATGGCTGTGTCTGGTTGATGTGCCCATTAAAAGAGGAAAATCACAGCCTACCGAGCGCTGCAAAATCACGTAGTGCGCTTTCATTGCAGTGCTACGAGGTGCCCGTGCCGTGTCCGGTGGTGTTTCATGGCAGAAGCTGCGTAGCCGTGCGACAAGAGGAGTCCTATCGTCCTGGATTCATATTTAGATGTTGGTGTACGTCTGTTAAAGCAGCTGTGGACCGGGTGGCTTTTAACAGATATGTCCTTTTATTGCAGCCTCGGCCATGTTCTAGGAGACACCAGAAACATGGAGAAACCTTAGTTGAAGCACAGAGCTTTAGAGCTGCTCACAGAAGGACCTGCTGGGCCAGTTAAGCAGGGCTTAGCTTGCTTAGACACCATCAGTCAGCAGTGATACTTCCCTGATGGTTCCTAACGTAGCAGTTCAGTCCGTGGTGGGATCTTGTCCCTGGGTTACTTCAGACCGCCTCCAGGTGGCTTTCAGACCTCTCCAGGTGGCTTTCAGACCTCTCCAGGTGGAAATCGGATCATTTTAGAGATAAAATCCAGCTTACATTTTATTTAATCTGTATTTACAGTAATTTTCAACACTTTCCAACAGCTGAACGGGGTTTTTTTTTATTGTTATTATTATTGGTGCATGGCTTCTAAATAGCCTTTTTTTTATTTGTTTTAAATGAGCGCTAATAATCCCAATATGTTGACTCATTCCCCGCCACCTTTGTGCTGATGCCAATATTTTATTATTAGGGAGCGTAGTATCCCTGCGCTCGCCCCGAAAGGGCGCTAGCCCATTGCAGCGCTTCTGCCGCGGTTACGCGAAACACGTAAGTAAGTAGCCTGTCCCGGTAGGACCCTAAGGAGACTCGTACGTAGCGCCACGCGTGTCCCGTTCCCAGAGTTCGGTGCTGTAACCGACCTCAGGGCTATCGGGACTCCTCCGTTGCTCACGGACTGCCCGTGAACCCCTCCCGGCCCTTTGCTCCAGCAGTACAGCTTTCTCGCAGCTGACAGCCTTGTGTTCGGTAGGGGACTGTCTTCTGTATGATCCTGTATGTATCACCAGCTAGTTGTTTTAATTCTCAACTGCACACGTGTTGGACTGGAAAGCGATAGAAACGGGCTCGTCGTTTTTAGGAGCCTTCACCTCCGCAGAGCGTTCTTTCGGTTGCGATAAAGCCGGAAAGCGTGTTAACTTGCTGAAAGGGAAAGCGCCAGGTAGTGGGACAAAATTGCTTGCAGATGTTTTTAAACTGTTGTTGATAACACGTTATGTTTTTGTTTTATTACTAGTTCTGGCCTGCTGGCCTTAGGGAAGCCCTTGGACAGAGAAAGCACTGACCGCTATATTCTGATCGTTACAGCCTCAGATGGCAGACCAGATGGGGTGAGTTTCCTGTCTTAAGAAAATGTGCTGTTAACTAACGATGGCACCTGAGCTAGTGTAATTGTCCGAACTGTTATATGGGTCTGGATATAATATATCTATAATCTGTAATGATTTTCCTTTATCTCAGAAAGCTTTTTGTACATACCTCCGATGCGCTGTTGGTTAACCTCCTTTGATCCTGAAGCAAACGGACCTCGCTGCTACGTCTGCCTTTTTGTTGTTTTTCAGTAAGGACCACTGCAGTCAAGAGTGTGTGATATGCAAATACGTGCCTCTTCTTACCCTTTAATTTGTCTGCCGCTAATAGCCAGTCTTCCCACTTACCTTCTCCTGCAGATGGGTTAGGTGGGCAGCCATGTCCTACGTTTGTGCTTTATCGAGCCACATGCGTTACACCTCTTTCAGAATTTGCACTTGAAAGCTTTGTTCAGATTCAGTTTTCTTAAGCTCTCGAGAAAAGTCTGTAGTGCCCTTGCCGATTTGGTTTAAAGTAAAGCCTTTTTTCAAGACGTTTAGTTGAGTCTTCTAATTATATCTTAGGTGATTCCCTGTGCCCCCCTCCACCCCCCTCCCGTGTTCTGCCGGCATTGATCAGGCATGCAGTGACCCCACAGTTGAGCCAACAAACTAACGCTCACTTTTGTGTTTAATGCAACAAAACTCTCATTTTCGGTTTTCATACGAAACCGTGGCCAGTTATATAAAAATAGATACTGAGTTATCAAGCAGAGGCAGTGGAAATAGGATTTTTCCAAAAGCCTGCAGCAGTGCCGAGAGAGGAGCATCCTTTAGTCGGGTTTGTGCAAGACACCTGGGAGCGCAGCAGTTCTCCTACAGACTTCTGTCGGGGCATAATAGTATAGGTGGAGAGGTCTCTTAGGTATCTGAGATTAAAATAATGTTCCACGTCAGTCCTCACATACTGTTTCTGCATTATCTGGGCTATCCTGGAAGGCGGTGTTCAGCTTTAAGACTGAAATAGAGAGATCTTTGCCAGCTCACTAAGGAGTGATCATGAAAGCTCTGTGTTTTGGACCCTCGCTCATCCTGTCTTGGCCGCAGCAGAGAAGAATCGATAGGCATTAATAGTGCACTCCGTGGCACCTGCGTTCTCCCGCTTTCAGCTCGTTGAACTTAACTGTAAGGCCAGCCAGCCGGCCTTCCTGCTCAGCGTTTCCTGCTCGCAAGAATTTTTCCCAAAGTAAACAGAGAGTTTTAGAGCCTACGTACACTGCCGTAGCATTTAACAGAGCCTACCCCTTTTCCATTAAAAATATGGGTTACAATTCTCTTTAATGATTTTTCTTAACATTTCATTTTCGTCACCTGCGAGCTACTCTCCGTTCTTGACTGCTGCCGTGAGTTCGGTTGCTTTCATCTCTAACTCCCAGCTGTGGAATTTGGAGATGAAAAGAAAACCTGTCTGTCTCGCTCTGTGTTGTGCTGCTGAAATACTATCTGGAACATAGAAAGGTTACTGAAAATGTATTCCTCTTCCTTTCGTCTAGAGATTTATTCCCTTTGTCTTAGAACTTGACTGGATATCTGTCCCATTATAACCCTCAGAAGAATGTTATAAAGGAATAATAAATCACCTAGCACGATGAACTACTAGAGCTCCTAGAGGTGTGGTAATACAGATAATAAATAATGGTAGAAGCCTCCCAAGTAGTTGTAATGGTACGATGTGAAATTTTTATTTTTTAATTTTTTTTAAGTGATTTTTAGAGAAAGCATCCACGAGAACTCCTGCAAGGAAATCAAATAATTAGAGCTGAAGGAACTGTTGTAACAGATACTCGTGGTTGCGCAACAGTGGAATGAAAATTATCATTTATCGATAGGCTTCACACAGCTCTTGCTAGTAGAACAGTCACCTGACAAGCAGCGAGAAGAGCAAAACAGCATTAGATGAAGAAATACTGAATGATACTGAAATGTTTTGGTGGTTGGAGTCATTTGTTATAATAGCAACATGTACTTAGCAAAAAAAAAAAATCCACTCTCCTGCTCATCTCGTCATCAGTTTGCCTCCCTCAGTACTGTGTGTGGTTCTAGCAGAATTTTAAATGGTGTGTGTTGGGAGGTGTTTCTCTTGACGGTTTTTCTTGCAATGAAACGTTAGTTGCATTTTCTAGGTTTTGTGCGTTGTCTTTTCTGCTGCTGGGTGTGTGTAGCTTGTTTTCTGAACTTTCTCTTACCTGGCTGTGGCTGTGTTTGCTTCTGTTGCGATACTTTCTGCTGGTGGTAGGCCCACGTGTTCCTAAAATTACCCAGCACCGTGGCTTGCTTGACTGCTCCTCAACACTTAGCTCTGGGTGACAGGACACTGAAGAAGCAGGTGAGGAGTTGGCTGGCCTTGCCTCCTGCTGGGGCAGGGCGATGAGTGTCGCAGATGATGTTGTAAAAGTCTTTTGGCTTTTATTTTATGCACAAGAATTATTTAAATCTTCATTAAGCCCTCATTAAATCTTCGTGCCCCCCCCTCCACCCCCCATGTCAGGCAATAGTGTTTTCAGCTGATTTGCAAAGCTTCCTTCCATCTTTGGGCAAGCTTTCTCTTTCCAGCTCTTTCTGATGTACTCCCTACTAATTAGCAGGTTTCTTTCCTGCTGCTTCTGGGTCAGGGGAGCATTTAAAGTTGTCGGCTGAAAATAAGGCCAAATCTCGTCAGGGACGTGGATGCCTTGTTTCAACAAGTCAGTAAAATTTCAGGGGGGACCTTTTTCTGTGTAACTGGTTTAAATTGGAAGGCAATGGTCTCTTTAGGACGAAGAACTTCGTAATCGTAGTAATAGCTTGAAACTACGAATTAAATGTTCTCAAACGTACCCAGAAAGCAAGGTTTCGTGTTTTATACAGTCTTTTCTATATTTGTTTGGTTTTTTCTTGGTTTTCTTTTTATTTTTTCCCCCTCCCTTAGCACAGTTTTTGCCCTTAGGTGCAACGTGAAAATTTGGTATTTGTACGCTCTGTACCTTTCCGTTGCGCAGGAGGCCTTAGGAACAACAGACGTAGGATCCTAGGATGCTTCAGTTTGGAAGGGACCTCAGGAGGGGGTGTAATGCAACCTCCTCCTCAAGGCAGGGTCAGCTATGGTTTCACTGGCAATTTAACTGTGAATCAGATTGTATAATTCATAGCCTTCGGGAAGAAAGATATATAACAGGTATGTGGAAAACCCTTGCACAGTGGAAGAGATAAATCACTTTTATACATGCAAATAGCGGTTCGTTGCAACTTCCCCCTGAGAAGCTGTCAACGGGACTTAAGGCGTTTAAATACACCTGTTATTTTTTAGCTAGATTCTGTTGTGAACGAAGATTTTTAAACGTTACGTGCGAGGTTTCAAAGGGACTTAACTTCATCTCATTTAACTGATTATTTAAAAAAAAAAAAAAGTACAAAACCCTGTCTTTGAGATGAAATGCTTTAGAAGGGATGTGTTGCCCTCCTTGGCAGTGGCTGAAT